TTTTTTTTTTTTTTTTTTTTGCTTTCTTTGGGTGCTATCTGTTTGTACGTACTCCATAGTCCCAAGCCTTATGTCCCACACCCTGAACCCTTAACGCTAGACTCTAAACCCTGAGCCTTATCCAAGGTCATAACTATGGGCCCCTAATGTGGGCCAATACCCATTTCCTCGGTCCTAGCCACGGCCCTTTCATTGGGCTTGCATTGTGTTACAAGTTATAGTTTGACAAGGTATACAATAGACGTGTAACGGCCCCCAGCTTTCGTGCCCATACTAGGGGTCCCATAGACCCTAAGTACACACCGGCCCCGAGGCAGAGGCCGGCGCTGTCGCAGGTCATTGCGTTTGAGGCGGAACCTGCATTGGCACAGGTTGCCGAAGAGAACGTGGCCCAGAATGGCTTGGCAGACAAGCTTGCTGTGAAAGCTATTCGGTCAACAGCCGTCTCATCGCTTGGAGATCTGAAGGTGGCAGGAGGAGCATTGCGTGCGGGCCTGCTTGTGGCTGAGATCTTGGACGCAGGCTTGCTGGGTGAGGACTGCTTGCCCACTCTGAGGCATGCAGCCAGCTGTTTACTGAGCCCCAACTACTTTGCTGTGCCGGCAAGTGCTGAAATCTGTGCATGCTGTGTTGAGAGCGGCATTTTAAGAAGCTGGCAGAGCGTGGAGGGCAGCTGGTGGGCAACTGAGGCTTTCAAAAACGATGAAGGTGATGCAAATCCACATGATGTTGTGTTGGAGAGGTTGGTCGGCACTGGCGAAGCTAGGATTTTGACGGAGGAATTCAACGCTCTGTCGTTCAACTTTGAGTCTCTTCCGCCGGAAGCCGGCAGGTGTGAGGTGGTCTCCTTGAAGGTAGGCACTGCAGGCTGGCTGGATGCTGTGGTGTTCTGGTGGTACTGCGTCATGGTCCGCAATGATCCCCTGCCCACCATGACCAATGCACCTGCCAGGGTGCCCATTGCAACGCGGGCGGATGCCATGGCAGGGAGGTCTGAGATTGGGCACTGGCGCCAGGCCGTCTCCATTTTACCTGGGCCGCGCCGATTTCTGGAGGCGGGGGACAAGCTTCGGATGGCAGTCTTCCACACAGATGAAGATATCTGGTTTCGTGTTGTGGAGCCTTCCTTCGTGCCGAAGCCTTTAGCGCTGCCACGGGCATCTAGTAGCCTTGCCTTCTTGCCTGCTACGAGGCTCTGGTCCATGGCAGATGACAATCGATGGCAAAAGCTGGAGCGTGCTGTCAAAGATGCGGTGGGGATGCTTCAGCCACAACCTCTGCAGGAGCATGGGGGCATCCTTGTGCTGGACCTTTCCGATGGCCCATTCATCAGTTTGATTCTGGCAAGGCATCTTGCAAAGCGCTTCGCCAAATGTGGAGGTAGCCCTGGCCCCAGGTCTAGGCATCTGCGCCGCTTGCTGCGCTTTGCCGGTCGCAAGCCTACCGTCCTCAGCTTCGAGTCCTCAGAGGAGGGCTTGAGCGTGGCCATGGATGTCTTGAAATCAGGCCAGAGACATCTCTGGAGGCCGAAGTACTGCAGGATACGGCCTGTGTTGGGTGGGCCTGGGCTGGCGCCTAAAAGTGTTGCCATGATTTGTGCCGAGCCTTACTCCCAACAATGCGAGGGACTGCCCTGTGATGCCCACTTCTGGCAGCACTGGGCCCAAGTTGATGCTTTGCGCTGGACGCTGGCACCCCAAGCTGTGCTTGTGCCTCTGGGCTTCAGGGTGCAAGTGGCTCTTATCTCTTGCGCTGGCCTCTGGCAGCGCCGACAACCAGTGACCGCAGAAGTGCATGGTGTGAATGTCTCCCAGATCAACAAGCTTCATCCCGACCGAACGTTCAAGCAAACGGCTGCGCGTCACAGGTTCCCCTGCAGTCTGTGGCAAATTGAGCACCAGGTCGTCAGCCAGCCCATCACCCTGTGCCAGGTAAGCTTTGCAGCAGACTTTCCCCGGAAGCTCCTTCGATGCCCCGAGGTCAGACTCCAAGTAGTTTCTAAGGATACTCTTGTCCATGGACTGGCTACTTGGACGGAAGTTCCAGTTGGAGGGGGCCAGTGGCTTTCCACAGCGCCGCTCCGGGGAGCTGTGGGGACCCAGCAGTTCCTACCCACCCCAGCAATGCAAGGTGTCCTACTGGCAAAAAGGCCCCGAAAGCCTGGCGTTGGGCTGGCGCCTCGTATCCATTTTAGGACATGGTTTTGGCATAGACACCATCACTTACACCCAGCAAATTAGAAAAAGGGTCATTACCTTCTTTTTGACATGTGCGTGACTTTTGGTAGCCGCCGTGGAATCCTTAAGGGGGCACCCATAAACTCTGCATAGTTCCTGTAAACCTTCAAGGGAAGGACCCTTATTCTGAGAATTTGAAACCGTCTCTGTGGAATGACCAAGGAGCTGGCGGTGTCTGCCTACTTCAAGGCTGCCGATGGCTCGCTGGACCTGCAGACGAACTGGGCTGGCGGAGAGAAGTTCTAAGTCAAAAACTTACTGGTTGTTAGTGGGGAAGAAGGGAAGATAATCCCTACATAACCCCTGTAGAATATATTCCCTTATGCCCTACTAATTAACACTCAGTGAGACGCAGAGACCAGAAGCCAAGCCCACGATGCCTTCAAGGGTTTGCAGGGTTTAGAGCCGTTGGGGCCGGGCCTGAACAAGCATGGTGTATGGTACCACTGTTGATATTAAAATACCTGCATGACCTTCAAATACTATGGTGCCAATATTCCCAAGGTTTACATTACCTAGGGCCATGCAGGATCTCTAGTATCCACCGTATGGCAGGTACTTCGCAGTGTCCTGCCAACTTGAGAGCATCTTCGTAGACTCCCGAGGCTTCAGTCCCAAGCTAAAATTAGCTCCACCAACCTCAGAAGTTCATGTCGAAACAGCGCATCCAAACCTTGGAAGTCTGGTTCCTGTTGGGGGGTAGAGTGTAGAGCTGTTTTGGGCTTAGCACTTAGGGTTGTTCAGAGTACAGGGTGGCCTTCAGTTTTTTTTTAAACTTTGGGCTTGAATGGGCCCTTTCACCCTTACGCATATCCAGTCGCCTTCCAAACCAACACATACAATGCAGCATTTGCATGGTCACACTAAAATCGACATCCGGAATTTGAGTTCAATCCTTCGCCGTAAACTTGAGCCCCAAACTTGCAAGCCTCTCCCCAGAACCGTCAACGCTTAACTGGGTTGCTGTTAAGG